CATATAGACAGTTTAAAATTTTCTTCACAGATGCTGATCATAAAGTGATAAAATGTACAACTTGATGACCGTCTGTTACTTCTTCTCTGTTTTGAGACTATTATTCATTTAAGTTGTACTGTTAATCATAATTTTGTCACAATATTCATAAATTATATATATATATATATAGAGAGAGAGAGAGAGAGAGAGAGAGAGAGAGAGAGAGAAAGAGAGAGAGAGACAGAGAGAGAGAGAGAGAGAGAGAGAGAGAGAGAGAGAGAGAGAGAGAGAGAGAGAGAGCACTTTGGAAGCAAATTTTGTTATTAAACTTGTTTCATTGTTGATCACAAAACAGACCTATTTCACTGTTTCATTATATTAATAATATATTAAGCTCACACTGTTAGTGAATGTGCATTGAACAGTTGCACATAAAGGAAAGAACTAAGTAAACTTCTTCTTTATTTCTGGTCATTTCTGGATTTGAGCTAAAAGACTAGATTTGCCACATATGCAGGAATATAGAACCTTGGTGGCAGAGCTGCTGGGAGCTGATCAGGGAGCTGAAATCCTGTCCTGCATGGGCATCTAATTTTGGACTAACATGTAAATAGATCAGATCCTTCAGACTTTACAATTGTTGGTACCACTGATAATTATATGCTAAAATGAAATGAAATAAGATATGAAGATAGCAGCATGAGAGACATTGCCAATATGTGCATATTTCATTTTGTGACCATGCCTTCAACAAGTATAAGAAAAGACTGATTGAGAGAGGGGAGAGAACTCTGGAGCTCTGGAGTTCTGGGCAGCTTCTGGTTGTAGCTAGAAATTAAAATTAATAATAATAATAATAATAATAATATTAATAATAATAAACCCTTTTTAAAATAATAGATTTACCACATGAAATACTCATACTCAGAAACACCTGGCATACAGGTGTACTTTATTGTAGGTTTAGCATTGCAGACTGTAGTGCATCTGTTGCTGCACAGTAACCGAACCCCCCTCCCCCCTGTCACCCTGTCCATCATTAGAAAGAACCACCTACTAGTTTCCAGTGGTCATACTGTAAAGGGTTAGACTATGAACAGTGTGTAAGGCAGGGGGGTCCAATCTTATCCACGAAGGGCCAGTGTGGCTGCAAGTTTTCATACCAAACAAGCAGGAGCTCACCCTGATTCCACCTCTTTAAACAATCACTCTTATTCCTCAAATACGTAATCATGTGTTCTACTGCTTTGTTGGATAGAAAATCTGCAACCACACTGGCACTTTCTGGATATGATTGGACACTTCTGATGTGAGGATTAAGCAAAGTACATTTGGTAACACTTTCTATGAATGTCACCTTTGTAAGCATCTATAAACACATTCATAACATGTTATAATGCATTCATAAGACATTATAAACATAGCTATAAATATTTATAAAAATGCATTATACATTATAGCCATGTTTATTATGCATTAGGAATTGTTAACATAATACATTATAAGTACTGTTCATAACATATTATAAGCACTCAGAAGTTGTATTTGTCCGCTCTAAGTAAAGTGAGGCATACTGTACTAAAGCCTCCTCCAGTGTTAAGAGTGAGGCTTCAAGTTGAAGTATTTACTGAAGAATTTACTGAAACACTAAAACATACACAATAAAACACATTACACGCTTCAAATGTCAGAGTTTAAACTAGAGCTGCCATCAGTGTTTTACCCAATGTGGGAAAGTCAATGTACACCACCGTTAGCTCTCCAAGCTGGGACTGACTTCTTTGGCACGACATTATAACATGTTATTAACACTATTTATAATGCATTATATACACAATTCATAATGCATAATAAACATGGCTATAAAGTGTAATTCAGTGTAATTCTTTTTTGTAAATATTTACAACCATGTTTATAATGCCTTATGAATACATTATAACATGTTATAAATGTGTTTATAGATGCTTACAAAGATCACATTCATAGAAAGTGTTACCGTACATTTCTTTGTGAATAATTAGATTGAAACATTATTTCAGGTTCAGTGTTTAACAGCCTGGACATTATTAGCATGAAACATGTTATGGCCAGGTTTTGAATATCAGCTCTTTCTGGTACAGCCATTATATGATTAATGGCCTGATTAGTTTGAATGTGCAGTTAATTGAGAAATAGCACTGTTTCTATATCAGTTTTCAGTTCCTTGAAAACTGTGAGTGGACAGGAGAATCAGCAATATGGTCAGCACTATGACAATGAAAGCTCATACAGAACAACATATGGGTGTCTAGCATGGACACTAGCTGAGTTAAAGTGTCTTTAAATGATGCATCACTACAGAAGCAGCAAATGTTCTTTAAACTTAACATAGCAAATGTTCAAATCATATCTTCACATCATCATGTTAACCGTGTGAGTGGTGGTGGAGGTGGGGGTGCATGATGGTTCTCAGCTTCAACAAGTAAACAACTCTGCAGGCATTCTTTAAAGCATGATTTGTCTTCTACAGTCCAATGAAGTTCTACAGGTTCTGAAATGGGACAGTTGTCTGAATTCTCCTGTTTCACACACTCTCACTGTGGAGCAGCGTTCACAAGTGCTGGATGTGTATGTTTGTAAAAAAAAGTTGCTGATTCATCATTGGTTTCTGTGAGCTGTTAAATGAGGTACAACAAAAAAGGAAACAGGAAGGAGGCAAGTCTTCTCACAGCCAAGAGCACACAAAGGCACAGTGACACACTTCATTTAATGTATACAGTTTTACAGTTTTTGGTAGTTGTGGTTTTGTAAGTTAATTTGAACAGAGATCTTCTGTGATGTGTAGCAGGACAAGGCCTCAAAGGCACTTAATTTTCCACTTACCGTAAGACACGGGTATTTTAATTAAATTCAAGTGAGTTCTTGACCATGGTCCAGGGAACAGAACCAAATTGAAGTTTTTCATATGCACACCGTGACAGAGCTGACTGTAATAAATTATTTATTGATAGAGGTATATAAACACAAAGCAATCGATTACAAAGGTATATAGGTGCTAAATATTAGATTACTAGTTATGGAAAGAAACCAGAGATATTGAACATACTGAAGAAAAATACTAAGATTAGCTGATTTTCCAAATTATGTGGCTTTGGAGCAGCAAGCAGAACAACTCTAACACTAGTGTAAAGCTGGCCTAAGTGTCAATAAAGAAAAGCAAAATCACAGTGAGACTGAGACCACAAAAGGGCAGCGCGAGTGAATCTACGACCTGGATGCCTCAGAGCTGCGGGGATGGTGTGTCGCGTTGAGGGGAAGAGAGGCCGCTGCTGGCATGGGCTGGAGCAGGGTCCGCAGGTCAAAGCTGCTGGATGCCTCAGAGCCGTGTTGATGCGCATGCCACGTTGAGGAAGAGAAGCCGCTGCTCACACAGGCTAGGAAGGGTCTGCAGGTCAAAGGCAAGGCTGCTAGAGGTGCAAGCCCTTGGTCAACGCTTTGGACCGGACCCCACTGGCAAGGCAGGCTTCCGGCGATGCTTGGCGGCCTCTCCGGTGAGGAGCGCAGATCTTCTTCTTGGCGATGGAGGCAGGCGGTGGTCGGTGCAGGCTCTTGATGTGGATTTCAGTCAGCACTGTTTTGCCTCTGTTTCTGTTCTAAAACTAGGTTCTGAGCGGCCTATCATTGGCAATTAGACTTTCAAAATAGATTGACGAAACTTGAAAAACAAACGCAGCTAAATGCAGCTCTTCAATAGTCTAACCTTACAGTTACAACACTAAGATTACTGAGTAAATGAAACAAAACGGATTAAGAAACAAGACAAACAACTAACATTTAAGATCTGCAGAACTTAGCTAAAGAGGAGAACGGGCTTCTCTACTTGGAGTTTTGTTAAGGTTACATGTTGGCTATCTTTCTGTTTCTTCTTCTCATTCTCAACCGTTTCTCTTTCTCGCTGGCTTTAAAGAAAGAACTTTGAGGGGCGGAGCTAAGGCAGAGCTAAGGCGGGGAAAAGGTTTTGGTTGGTTTGTTAGGTTACCTATAATGAATATGCAATTTCTTTGAATGCTGCTCAAGTGTCACATAATCCTTTGGAGATTCTGGGTGTGGTTACATAAGTAAAAGAAGCATGCAATTTCACATATAAAACATTATTGTTTCCATAGTGACTATTGCAAATGACTATGGAGCTTACAAATCATTATCCCTTAACGTATACCATGATATGGTTACATACAATAAGTTGAATCCTTAACCATTCTAGTCATATAAGAAGTAGGAAGAATTAAATTGTTAAGACAATTCCGAGGTTATACGTCACATTACTATTTCTAAACAATGCTCACATGAACGGTTACAAAATAACTCAGAGTAAAATAAGTGAGTACATAATCATCAATAATTCTGTAGATATGTTGGGAGAAACTCTATGATTAAAGTGTACATAGTCACACAAGCTACAAACTTTAGAATCCTACTTCTAATAACACTACAAGAAGACTTGCAAGAAAAGCAGATATATAAGAATAACAGTGATCACGAAACATATGGGTTGTTTCTCAAACAAAAGAAAAAGAAAAATTATATAATGGGTGAAATGAACATAGTTGTGAATGATCAAAGATCAATACAATAACCTAGATCAGTGAGGACGGATTACAATTCAAGAATCAAAATAACTACTAGAATATAAAAGAACATATTGTGGATAGTTAGGTACTAATTCCCTTTGGCAGGGATTAACCAATTCACGCCTGGCAAGACAACATGTTAACAGTAACAGAAGTGTTCTTCACAGTTTGATAAAGGAAAGGCATTTGATTGATACTTGATTAAAGATCACATTGTGAATGATTTGCCAGAAAGCAGGGCTCTCAGGAGCCTAGCCTCTGCACAGACCCCAAATTTATGATACTGAAGGAATGCACTTAAGAGTATCTGGCCACACCGAGGGGTCTGCTCAGGGATTCGTGAGGTCTCAACAGTCCCCTCACCCAGAGTTGATTGGTGGGCCATCTTTGGCCTTTGTTTTAGATAAGATGTCTCCCTTTGAGGGGGACGGTGAGATGTATGGGTGTGAGAGAGAGGGAAGGGAATTTTCAAAAGTCAGAATTTATCAGTATCCCAAAATTTACTTCAGTGATGTCCAAAGGTCTCTTCAGGATGTTTATAAAGGGGTGGCATGACGTTCCATTATGTTGCCCTTAAACTGTTAGTCAAAAGAAAAAGAAAGTCTTCAGACCTCTGGGTCAAAGTAGGTCTGTTCTGAGGTGAGCCACCCCCCCTCCCCACTTCTGCACCAGGTTGCCAAAGGAGGGGGGGCAAATGGGCTGTGAGACATGTCTTTAGCAGTCAGCCATAAATTTACTATTGGTCCTTCTAAACATCCTGCCGCATGCAGATGCAGATCTCACTTTGCTCAAAAAGTGCTGATCCGTTTATGAATTAAAACAGCAAAGCACGCTACAGATGATTGGACATTAAATTGGATTCAAGTCAAGAGTTGTGCAGTGTTTATATGTCTCTAGTAGGATTTTTCAGGTTATTGCTAGTGTCCCATGCTACTGCTTAGCTTTATACTATTTCAAGGTGAATATTACATGAGGATTTTACATATTATGATATCATACAAAAACATATCTGTGCCTTATTTAAAAGTAGCAAATGGCCTGAATAGCCATTTAGGAACATGGTGGTCTATGAATTATGAAATGATGCATCACAAAGGAGAAAACAACTAGTTTTCTCATGGTCCAAGGGCCACAAAGGCACTGTGACATCACTGTGTGTAACCTCAGACACCATGAAATGGTGTGTAAAAAGTTTACAGCTGCTGAAGTTGCTGCAGCAGTTTTGGACAGTAGCGATGATATTATCTACTATTTTATTAATGTATTCTAATAAATTTATTGATCTAACACTTTGGTAAATCCATTACAAGCACCAAAACAATTTGTCCACATGAGTAAAGCTATGTTTTTAAAAGAGGAATTTCCAAACTTCAGTTTCAGCCTTAGACTGGATTATCTCTTTACACAGTGTTCCAAGGGCATCATTATAGAGAGAACTGAGATTGTTCAGAACTTTGATACATAACATGTGGGTATCATGTCGTACGCAAGTGCCTTTATAAAAATTTAAGAATATATGCAAAGATCAAGAAAATGCATTTGACAGTGGTCAGTACAGAAACAGAGTTCAGCTGGTTAATGGTCACTCTCCAGGAAATCTCTCTCTACTCATATCACACCTGACTGAAGAGGATGGAGGAGATTATATCTGTGCTGTTAAAGATTCACATTTATACATCAGACTCACTTTAAAAGGTAAAACACTGCCTCAGTTTGTATTCTGATTACATTTCACATCTTAAAAATCAAATTAGCAGTGTAGCGATCCAACTCTTTGTTTTTAAACATTCCACCCCCTCATCACTGTTCACCTACAATAATCATCAAAGAAACTCTCTCACGAACATATCATACACACAAACACATTTGCAGTATTACTGAGTGCTTTATTTCTAGCAAATGATTCAAAATCATCATATTAGTATATGATTAAAAGGATTTTACTGCAAGGTTTAATGTACACACCAGTCTAACTACTTCGAACACACAACTGTCCCAGAAGCCTGATGGTAAGCATCAGGCTGAATGTGAGATGTACTATTTTTTGAGAAGTTGACTGAAAACACAGCCATGAAGACTTGAGTGACTTTCACATCCAAATCATATATTCTTCCAATATGTTGAATGAAAATGTGCAGAAAATGCCATATTTAACCCTTGTGTGGTGTTCATGTTTTTGTTACTCTGGTGGTCTGGTGGCCCCACTGCATTATTATTATTATTATTATTATTATTATTATTATTATTATTATTATTATTATTATTTATTTTTTTTATTTTTTTTTATTATTTTTTAAAATCATAACCATGACAATTTACGTAAAAATAACAGATGTTTAAAATGTGCCCAGCGTAGGGTTCTCCTTTAGCAGCTGTAGCCAGTCAGCAGCCTGTCCATGTTGTCCACCCTGTTGTCATCACTGCTATGATGAACAGCCTGTCTCTTTTTTTTGTGGTTTTGTGGTCTTGTGTGCACATTTGTGTGCTTTCAGCTAAAAGTCCAACTGTGTCCCTTTTCTTAAAATGTAAAAACACACTGTGCAAAATGCCACTAAACATATATGAAGTACAGTGAGCCAAAACATTATGACCATTATCATAATAATGTTGAACTGAATAATATGAACTGAATAATGTTGATTATCAGTAGTGTTGAGCACCTTTCGACAGCAGTCCATGAATCAGCAACCGGTTGGTGTGTGGCCAAGGTTTAGCGAAGTGCAAGGGCAACAAAGTCTATCCTCTCAGCCCCCTGCTGCATAAAGGGCTGCATAACCGTAGACTCCTCAGAGACTCCATGCCAAGCGCTGTCCACCACTGAAACTACAACGAGAACTGAAACTGAACTTTGAAGCAATAGAAGAAGGTCACCTGTTCCAGTGAGTGTGATTTTGTTTTACATCATGTGGACGGCTGGGTGTGTGTGCGAAGTTTACCTGGGGAAGCGATGGCACCAGGATGCACTATAGGAAGAAAACAAGCTAGTAGAGGGAGTTTAAAGCTCTGGGTAATGTTCTGATGGGAAACTCCAGACATTCCAATTAAGTGCAGCCATTCATGTGGACATCAAATTGACACATGCCACCTACCTAAACAGTGTTGAGGTTCAGGTACACTTCATCATGACAATGGTATTCCCTCAAGGCCTCTTTCAGCAGGATAATGTGTCCTGCCACACTGAGCACATTGTTTGGGAATGGTTTGAAGATCATCACTAAGAGGTCAAGATGTTGTCCTGTCTTTCAAATTCCCCAGATCTCAATATTACCAAACATGTGTAGGATGTGCTGATTCAACAAGGATTTGCTGCTAAAGTCTTAGTGCTAGATATCACAGGATGTCTTACAGAGTCCATGCCTTGGCGGGTTGAATCTGTTTTGTTGGCACACAGAGGACCAACAGCATATAAGGCCCATTGGGTTGATGACACTGATATTCATGTGTCATCAAAACTAAATGGAATCTAAACCTCTCTCTACATGGAGTCCACCTAAAACTACACCATCTACTGCAGTGGTCAATGTACACACCAGACCAACCACTTCAATCACACATTCATCTCAGGAGCCTAATAGTAAGTACAGCACATTGACTGCAGCTGAAAGCACAATGATACAGCGTTATCATTTCTGTGGTGATTTTTTATGTGCTTCCAAAGTCAGTATTATTACAACCTTTCTGAATATTCAGTTGTGTTGCTGTTATTCTACTTCCCTCTTCTCTCTCTCTCTCTCTCTCTATGCAAACTTTTCTAGAGACAGACTATTCCATGCTTTTCTTCATCTTATTTCCCGTTCTTCTTCTCCTGCTGGGACTCGGAGGAGTCATCTACTGGAGATACAGAGGTACACACACACGCACACACACACACGCACACACACACACACACACACACACACACACACCATAGTACACACTGTTTTGAAATATGTGCAGTATCAGTGTCTCACTCTGTCTGGTTTCATTCCTCAGGACGGAGTCGATGACAGACGGAGAGCAGAGAGCAAATAAGGACGAAGACAAAGCAGGAAATACAGGTGAGGACATACATCCCAACATATCACATTACATCCCTACATCACTTTCCCTCATATTCCATCAAATTTCATCACTTCCAGTCATATTCCATCATATACCATCATATCTAATCACACCCAGTCACGTTCCATGATAGCCCATCTTAACTAATCTACATCCTATCATACCTTATTACATCCCATCATAATCTGTCATATTTCTTCGCCTGCCATTGTGTGCCATCATATTCCTGCACATCCCATTATATCCCACTGACAAATCTCATCTGAATATTATACATTACATATCCTGTCTACATAATCCTTTCAGCAGCATTTCTATCAGATAGGGAGATACATACTCAATCGGAATATTACACTGAGCTGCCAATTTATTAGGGACATGAGTCTAAGACTGTGTTTTATATTCTGAGCGTAGATTCTTCAAGGTGCCGAAAAGCTCGCTTGCATGTTCCTGAAACACTTTGGTGACAGTTCATGCTTTGTGACATGGTGCATTATTATGCTGAAGTCCATGACACAAAAGGAAGACTGAGTTTATTTGATTAGACAACTCATTCAGTTTCTAAGGGGTCCAATTTTGATGGTCTTGTGCTCATTTTGCTGTTATTTGTTTTACATCGTTGACTGCTGATATAGTCTTTGGTCATCATAGCTCAAAAAGTGTTCTCCTTTGACCTTTCTGATGCACAAGCTGTTTTTGTCCACATGATCGTTAATCAATGAATGTACAATAATGTGAAAGTGAGTCAGTTTACCTAATAAACAGTGCATATCTGTATATCCTATTCCTACTGAGGAAGAAGCTGCTCCTGGTAGTTTAAGTCAAACTCTGAAGTGATTTTAAAGGGTCAGTGTTGTGTGTTAATTATCATTTGTGATCCTCTACAGGATGAAGTGATGTGCTCTACTGTATTGTTTTATTTTTGATTTTTAAATTCACAATTATGTAAATATATTAAAAAATAAACTTCAGCTAAACATTTATTGATTTGTCAATTTTCATCAAATTGTTTTTGAATGAAGAGAAATTATTCAGCGGATGCATTTTATCTCATGCCTGAACATCTTCTTTTCTGCTGTGTTGGTCAGACAGCTGTAAAATAAATCCTGTATTCTGATTGGTCCTCATATCTCAAGGACTTCTGAGCCTAGCCTTTAGCATTTACCAGTAGCCCCATTTCCTGTGTTGTTGTTTACCCTCATAGCCATAGCTTAGCACAACAAATCTTATCCTAGCCTCTGCTGTTGTTTTTCTTCATGCTACGCCTTTTTGTTTTGTACCTTGGATACTTTATCCCTTAAAACTTTTGTCCTTAATGTCTATCACTAGTCTGGTCTGGTTCAGTACAATGTTCAGTTCAATTTGGTGAAATCAAATGCATAAAAGTAGATTCATTAAGTTATATGGCCTAGTTATCTAAAAAATGAATCCCCCAGCCTTCATATGTAGGGCGATTGTGTTACTCATGGCACCATCATTTATAGTCTTTCTCCCTCTTATACATGGCTACTGGGCCTTGTGAGGTCAAGCATAATATCTTGACATCGTAACAATAAAAAAACCCTTTCTGTTGCTATATAGAACCCTTTTCATGAAGGTTCTATACAGAACCACACACAACACATTCTCCATCAATCTGAAGAACCATTTCACCATGTAAAGAACCCTTGAAGCATGCAAATCGCTCTTTGAATGAAGCCTTAAAGAACCATCTTTTTCAAGAGTGTTATATCAATGTTCAACATTACATTTCATCACCAGTGCTGTTTAAGGATCACTCTTCAATATTGAAAAACCTTATCAAATATCCTGGTTGGTTCAACGTTGATTTTTCACCACTGACCATGAATCAAAGCTTTTGACGAAAATTCAACACCGAATCAAAGACAACATTAAAACAAATAAATTTAACACTTTATTCTTACATTCTTACATTTTAACACTGAAAAGCAGTAAAGATAAATATTTTACCATGACATTTATGACTTTTGGCCTACATAACCCAAGAGAAAGAATAACAAGTACAACAATTTGAAGTCTTTAACATGCTTCAATTTGAATTTAAAACAGTATGAAGTTTGAGTGTGAAATACTCATATGTAGAAACACCTGCCATACAGGTGCACTTTTTTGTAGGTTTACTATTGGGGACTGTAGGCCATCTGTTGCCCCCCCCAAGGGTTAGACAATGAACATTGTGTAAGGCAGGGGTGTCCAATCTTATCTATAAAGGGTCAGGTTTTAATACCACACAAGCAGGATTCCACTTTGTTCAATTGCTCTTATTCCTTCAATAGTTGACCATGTATACTACTGTTTTGATGGAAAGAAAACCACAACCACACCAGCCCTTTGTGGAGAAGAGTGGGTTAAGCACAGTGCATTTGCCTGTGAATAATTTGGATGAAATGCCATTTATTGTTTAATGTTTGACTGCTTGGACATTGTTAGCAAGTTCCACACATCAGTTTTTTTGGCACTGCCAAGATAAGATTAATGTCTTGATTAGTTTGAATGTGCAGTTCATTGAGAAATAGCACTGTTTCTAGATAACTTTTTAGTTCTTTTTAACAGTAGGTACTAGTAGGCCCTAAGAATAGCTCAGCCAGTTTCCACTGCAGTTCCTGTAGTTACTGAATAACAAACATTGGCATGTAATAAGCCTGGGATTTTAAAGAGTTGAACTGTGATTATTTCAGAGTGGACAGGAGAATCTCCAATAGGGTCAGCATTATAACAGTAAAAGCTCATACAGAGCAAAATATGGATGTTTAACATGGACAGTAGCTGAGTTAAAGTGTCTTTAAATGATGTATCACTGCAGAAGAAGCAGCAAATGTCCTCACAACTTAAAATAGCAAATGTTCGCAGCACATCTTCACACCATCACATCAGCCGTGTGAGCGGGGATGTAAATTGAGATGTGTGCATGAGCAAACTTTGTCTTTGCTGCATGAACATCAGGGTACAGTCCATTGAAGTACTGCAGGTTCTGAAACTGGGACATGTGCATGATTTCTCCTGTTTCTCACACTCTCACTGTGGAGCAGCGTTCACAAGTGGTAGATGTGTTGAAAAGTTGCTGCGTTATTGTGTGTTTTTGTGAACTGTGAAATGAGGCCCCACAAAAAAGAAAACAGCAAGCTTTCTCACAGCCAAGAGGCACTGAGACATTAGGTCGGCCAGTTTTGGTGTGTTTTTGAGGGAGTTTTGGATTTTTCCCACTACAGTCCAGACTCCTCTCTGTTTGAATGCACAATGTAAACCTAAAACTAAAGCCACATTTCAAAAACATCTGGTCAAATTTGACTATGAATGACTGAAATAACTCAAAAGGCTTGTCATGGCTACTGTGCATTCATCTCCACAATGAGGGAGGGCTTTTCTCACTTGTGGCTTTACCAGCAAGCCAGTTGGCTGTTTTATAAAAGGGCGGGAATTTCTCTCTCTCTCTCTCTCTCTCTCTCTCTCTTCTCTCTCTCTCTCTCTCTCTCTCTGTGTGTGTGTGTGGTTTTGCCAGTTAGTAACCCATTTCTTTTGAACACAGATGCTTTTTGCTGCATGGACACTGATGTGTGGATCAGTTATGTTATGTTGGAAGAGTTCTGCAGTGTGTATTTGTCTCCAGTAGTTGTACCAAGTGTACTGTTATTTTGACAGTGATTTGATCTCAGTTTTTATCTCCATGGCAGTTACTATGACCTCCACTTGCCTTTAAAATGTTTTGGACAGACCACAACTATATGCCCACTCTTTAACAAATAAAATGGAACACATGCATGATTTCTCCTGTTTCTCAGACTCTCATAGTGGAGAAGCATTCATAAGTGGTAGGTTCACATGCTGCAAGAAACTGTAGTTGCATCATTGTGGCTTTTATGAACTGTTAAATGATGCACCACAAAAAAGGAAACAGCATGTTTTCTCATGAGCAAGAACAGACAAACATACTGTAACAGGCACTGTGTACTATGTAAGGTACACAGTTGAACCTTTAAACCACTGTAATATGCTTGAGGGTACATTTACATTGTTTGTACCCTGATGAATGAAAAATGTACCTGCACAGAACCTTTTTCTGACAGTCTGCATACAAGAAAGAAACCTTCTGGATTCATAGAAAACATCTTACAGAGATCTGTATATTTACGGTAAGTTTTTTAACATCATGCAAGGGTAAATATGCACCCTACATTGAAAATGAAAAGAATAAGAGTGGGCGGAAAAAGCCATAAACAACTTCTCAGCTTCAGCAGTGTTGGCCTCTTTGAGGTGTGAATGATGCACCACAAACGAGAAAACAGTACGTTTTCTCACGGCTCAGGGGCCAAGAAAGCACCGTGACATCAGCTGGGTTTTTGGTAGTTGTGGTTGTGTCAGTTATTTTGAGCACAGAGCTTCTTTGCTGATTGGACGTGGGGTCAAGTAAAGAGTCCTGCAATATTTATATGTGTCTGTCTCAGATTACAGCTAGTGTCCCAGGCAACCACTAAGACTTAAATATGTCAAGGCAAATAATGCATGAGGATTTTATGTGTAGGGTTTTCATGCAAAAACACGTGTCCTTAATTTAAAGTAGCAAATGGCCTGAAAAGCCCTTTAGCAACAGAATGGTGGTCTGTGAATTGTGAAACGATGCACCACATTTGAGGAAGCAACTACTTTTCTAATGGCTTAAGGACTAAGAAGGTACTGTTACACCAGCTGGGTTTATGATTTGGCGGTTGTGGAGGAATCAGCAAATTTTCTCACAACCCAGGGGACACACTGTAATGACAGCTGGGTGTTTTGGTGTGTAACTTTGGTAAAGTTGTTGTCACACTTCATGTCACTAAAGCTGAGTTTGAAATTTGTGTGAAAGTGTAACTTTATACAAATTGACTGGGAGCATTGCAAGTGACTATAACACCATTAAGGAAAGTGCTTTTGAGGAGTCTGCATTGTCTTTCCATGCATCACATGATTGGAATTCACTTCTGATGGTACCCAGTGCCAA